CCAAATGGAAGGAAATGAGATTGTCTCTGGGGATGAAGGTGGAAAGAGATTACGTTATGTGCATTTGGATTATTTTTATGGAACACTCTTCCTGGAGTTAGTTGTTACCCAGTACACTCAGCACCTTTTCAGATGAATGCATATTTTGTTATACTTTGTTTCACTGGTACTTGGCTCTGCGGCTCAGTTGGGGTGGCGATTTTCCAGTTCTACGAGGCTGGAACTTAATGTACAGTTTAGCTGCTGTGTGAGCCGGCTGTACAGCTTGTCTGGTATGGACCGGATGCCTTTTGGTACGGAAACGCTCTGGGTTTAATCTACTATACTTGCATTTGTCATCTGTAAAATATCTGCTCTTTCACATATTTTCATCAATTCACAGGATGGTGAACAGAATTTTTAGAGATGTATTCACAAAGAATTCTGGGAAATGCAACCCCCCCCCCCCCAAAAAAAAAAATAACAGGAATTCTATAACATAGCTAATGTTTTAGCTTCACTATTTTGGCCAAAAATATGAAATCTTCCTCTTATTTCTCTACAATTTCAACATCATATAATATAATATACATTATCGTGTGCACATAGTATGTTACCATTTTCTATATACTAATCTTCTGAGTGTGTAACCAGGCCCAAACAGAGGATGTTGTACTAGTTAGTGCCTCACTTCTAAATCCAGTGTAAGTGTGTTTCAGGAGGAGTGCGGGTTTCTTCCAGAGCCAACGTTTGGAGGCGATAGCGATTAGAGAGTTGTGGACTTACTGAGTCAAAATGTATTTCTACTGGCATTTACAACAGAGTTATGTCTCTCCGCAGAGCTCCTTACCCATTCCGACCCCATGTCCTCCAGCCAAACATAGACTGTCGCCTTGGAATCCTGTCCAACATGGGTTCTGGAAGATCAACTTTTTGTCATTTTGTCCACGCCAGTCTTGTAATATTTTTATCAAAATGAGGCCACACACGTTGTACTATGGAGAGTATGTCTTCACAGCAGTTTTCTGTAAAATATATCTTGTTACAGCTTATGTTATGGTGCTATTATAACTAAAGGCCAATGTTATATTGTTTAAGATAAAATATCAGCCTGCGCATTACACAAAGCATTAGAGCCAGCATTAAATTTTTTTATATTGTTGGATGTTTTATTTTTCTCTGGCTTTCTTGTGCACTTAGATTTTAAAAAGTAGGCAGCTCTGTTACTGGGATTATCTGTTACTGAGTTACAATACATTTCTACTTAAAAAGACAATCTACAAATCATATGATAGAACAGATTCACGATGGTGATTTGTTTATTATGGGGAATATATATATACACAGTGCAGGTTCTGGAAATATCATTCATAGAATTAGTTTGCACAAGCTATATAACCTCGATATATAATAGCCTGCTTTCCTGATATTGTCTGCAGTACCAGATATTGCCATCAATTTCCAATGGGCACGGTGTTTCCAGAGCTCGGGCATATCACCAATGCCAATCACCAGGCAACCACCTGTAAACCAGCTTCGGGCTGCCCTGTAAATGGCGAAACAATAAAAACACAATGCGTTTCCAATACTACATCTCAGACGGTGCATAAACCGTGCCCAGATAATAACCTTGTATATTCAGACCAAATGGAGAAACAGGTTTTCTGGATGTATTAGTTGTGTATTTATTGCTCATTGGATATAATAAGATAATAATTTACTGTTTGATTAATTATTACTTTGTCCTGTTTGCCTCGCTGTATATTGATAATTACCTCCTCACATTCCCGTTTTGTATCCTTGAAACTGCTGATATTTTGTATCAGGTAAAATAAATCACCTGTTTGGAAGATGTTTGTGCAGTTTATTTTTTCCTGGTTTGTAGTCAATTTGCTGCCATTGTGAAGTGTGTCTGTGAGGTGCAATGTGTGTGTGTGAGGTGAACTGTGTGTGTGTGAGGGGTGCTGTATGATTGGGCTGGGCAGTCTGTGTGTGGGGGTGGTGGCGGCAGTTTGTGTGTGAGAGGGGGGGCATTCTGTGTGTGGGGGGCAGTCTGTGTGTGTGAGGGGGGCAGTCTGTGTGTGTTGGGGGGACAGTCTGTGTGTGTGGGGGGCAGTCTTGGGTGTGTGGGGGGGCAGTCTGTGTGTGTGTGTGGGGGCAGTCTGTGTGTGTGTGGGGGGGCAGTCTGTGTGTGTGAGGGGGCAATCTGTGTGTGTGGGGGGGCAGTCTGTGTGTGTGATGGGGGCAGTCTGTGTGTGTGAGGGGGGTGCAGTCTGTGTGTGTGAGGGGGGGCAGTCTGTGTGTGTGAGGGGCAGGGCCGGACTGGGAATTAAAAGCAGCCCTGGAAAAAAAATATTTCCCAGCCCCATAATGCGTCGCGCCAGCATAGTGTGCACATACAGAGTTAGAACAGATAACTTAAAATTAAAAAGTACTCCAACGTAAAAAGCGCACTCATAGGCTTAAAAATAAACAAAAGTGCATTCACTTTAAATATGTTATTGTGCTGGAGTATGCACCTAGCAACAATACTGGGCCAGTATCTGCTCATTACATAAGGTACATATTAAAGAAATTTCTCTGTGTATTATGCATATATAAATGTACATTAATATATATGTATATATAATAGGCATAATTATATATATATATATATATATATATATATCTAATACACACATTAATATACATGTCATATACCAGTGGCGGATCCAGAGCCTGAGCCCGGGAGGGGCACTTGTAGATTATTTAAAGAAATATTCTATGCACAATAACCACTACTCCTCTGTGTAGTGGTTATGGTGCCAGGAGTGTCGGCAATTGCCCCGTTGCCCCCCCATCCACCAGTAATATATACTGCCCCTATATGTGTCTCTTTATCTCCAGCCCCTCTGTGTGCCTTTTTGTCTCCCCCAGTCACTCTGTATGTTTCTTTCTCCCCCTCACTGCTCCTCTGTGTCAATGTCTCCCCTTTCCTTCCCAGTCTCTCTCTTCCCCCTCTGCCTCTTTCTCTCCCTCCCTTTGTGTGTGTCTCTCATTTCTCCCTCTTTGTCTCTCCCTACCCCCTTTCCCTGTGTCTCTCCCCTCCTCCTCATCTCTCTCCCTCCTCCCTTTCCCTGTGTCTCTCCCCTCCTCTCTCCCTCCCCCTTTCCT